CGCGGGGATGGAGGGAGCTTGGACCCACGCCAGGTGTGGGGCTGGGAGTGGGTCCTGGCGCCTGGGGCTGTCCTGGCCCCTGAGCACTGGGCTCTGGCTGTTCTGCTGCCCCCTGGCCCTCGGGCACCGCTGGCTCAGGGCTGGTGGTTGCTCTGCTGACCGGACCTTCCTTGCAAGGGGCTGCAGAGCCCGAGCTGGAGAAGCCAAAGGCATCTCCCTGCCCATCGCCTGGTGCTCCCCAGGCCTCCTGCAGCTCTGCCAGCATCTCCTCCAGGATCTGCCGGCTCACCTGGTAGCTGTGCCATGCCTGGGTCCAGACTGCCAGCCCTCGGCTGCTCTGCATCCTGCACACCTGAGCCTCCATCTCCTGCAGCTTCTCCAGGGCAAGCTCCACCGACAGCTTCTGGAAGGAGCTCTGCAGGCACTGCAGGGCCTGGCCCTCCCCGCGCGGCCCCCGGCCCCAGCACTGCCTGCAGCCCACCTTCAGCCCCCCGATCTGGAAAAGACAAGGAACGTGGCTGTTTTCCTGGCTGCCCAGGCAGCCCCGGGTGCTGCTGGAGAAGATCCCACACACCCACCTTGCTGGAGAAGCGTCCGAGCTCCCGCAGCAGCTCCCGCCCCCCCTGCCGCTGCTCCACCTGCCCCTGGAACCTCAGCAGCTTCCTCCGGAAAAGGGCTGCAGCCACCTGGAAGGGATGTGCCTCCGGGAAAGCTGCGTCCTGCACCTCAGCTGCCTCCTGACACAAGGCCAGGCCACGCTGGTACTGAGCCTGCAGGGATGAAGGAACAAGCTCCATGCCCAGGGAATGGTGCTGACCTGCTAGGACTTGTAGGCAGGGTCTGCAGATCAGCACTCAACATCTCTGTCAGAGCTCTGTGGGAAATGCTCTGGGAAAGTGAGAAGAAACACAGAGAATGGGGATTCTCCAAATCTCTGCTCTGTCCTGGCTGAGCTCAAAATGCACAAAATTCATCCTCCTGTCTTGAAGTCACCTTGCTTCATCCTCCCTGCAGTGAATGTAACTGAAGGGCCTGCACATCTAGGGGCACAGGAGGGACAGTTCCTGGTCACCGTATTATTTTATGTCTGATGGACATCCAGGCTCTGCAGCCTGGCCCTGAGGGAGGAAGTGGCTGTGAAGGCTGGAGCACAGGCTGGGAACAGCACTCCCAGCCCAAAGCACACCAAGGAGCAACACAACCCTCAAAGTCCTGCCCAAAGACCAGCAAAAACTGGACTTGAAAACTGCAGCTTGACCCAGCCAGCCTGGGGAGCCCCAGCTGTGCCCAGAAGCCTCGTTCCAAACCTGGGAGATCTGGACTGAATCTACCAAACCTTGTAATGAAGTCTGAATGTTTCTCATGTGGTGTTTTCAGTTTCTGCCCAGCACCAGACAGGGGACAGAGCCACCCAGCAGCCATACCCAGGGACGTGTGTGACAGAAAATCCCTCTCCAAACTTACCGTTGCCTGGACCAGGAACTCGTTGAAGTGCTCCTCGGAGCCCTGGGTGCTGTTGGGGCTCCACTCCTTGGTGCCCATTTCCTGCAGCTGCACTTCTGCCTCCCCGTCCAGCCAGCCCCCCAGCTGCAAGAGAGCAGGGTGAGTTTCAGGGGAGGCCCATCCATCCAGCCCCCCAAGCTGAAGAGAGTGAGGTGAGGGCCAGGGGGGACCAGGCACCCATGCTGTGCTTCTGTGGCACCTCCCCTTCCTTCCTCAACTGTGCTTCCCATCCCAGCATCATCATGTAATGTTGTCCCATAATGAAAATCAAAGTCCAGGCAATCCTGTTATTCTCTGGGCTTCATAATCAAAAACTGAGGAAACCTGCCCAAAATGCTCAGCTATGGAAACACTGCAGAGAACAACTACAACTTGTGGCACTCCAGGGATGCCCAACTCACCTCACCAAACTCAGCCTCCAGCTCCCGGACCTTCTGGAGGAACTCCAGGCGCTCCAGGCAGCTGTTGGACTGGGACACCAGGCTGTGAAGCTCTTCCTCCAGCTGGCTGTACAGCCCCTCAGCCAGCTCCATGCTGGTCCTGGCAGGCAGGGAGGAGAGGGGCCATCAGTGCTGGGTGAGCTGCTGGCTGCTCCTGAAGATGCCAACAGAGGAAATTCTCCAGCTGGCAGGAGCTAGAGATGGGGCAGCTCCTTAGGAGCTGGTGATGGCACTGGGAGCCTGG